ACTTTTCATTTTTTAAAAATTATAGGTCTGAGGTTAGGATTTAGGTACATAACAGAGCTTCATAAAAGCTCTCCCTGTCGCATGCACTTTCTACACATTCATCTTAAATTGGAGAGAGGGTAGAGAAGGAAGATGAGGAAATGGTCTGGCATATTTAAAGTGTGTTCATGTACTTTCAGGCTACTTATGAGGCCCCACTTCCTGCCCTCTATCATCATACACTTTCTTGGTTTCTCTTCCCTTGCCTTTTCAGCTAGCTAAACCCTTGACTTCTCCACTGGCTTCCCCATCTCCCACCTCCCAAGGGAAGATTAACTTAGGTTTAAGTTTAAAAATTCATTAAAGTCCTTTGCTGTTTTCTACCTAAGAAACAGTCTGTACCAAATCTATTTAAGAGTCCATTGAAAACAAAGGCAGAAGCAGGGCTTCTATAACAGATATTTCTATCTTTAGGGAAAACAAAAAAGAAATAGGCTATGGAGAACATAAGGATGTTCTTTTGGATCCAGACTAATTTAGCCTTTTCCACAGAGACATACCCCCATCGGTTTGAGTAGCTTTTCTGGACTTGTGGGCAGATAGACTGCAGAGAGTTCATCAGAAAATTCAGAGGTTGAAGGAGGTCTATCTTAAGGCAGCTTGTAATGTTGTTATAGGGCTGACGTATGAAGTGACCAACAGTCTTTCTCTACTCAGGATTCTCCTCATTCTTCTCTAGAGTCCTCTATTCTCCCTGAATGACAAATGATTCACATACATATGAATATATAAAAGGACCTGGGTGGCACTTAGCTGCTAATTGAATGGTTGGCAGTTTGAATTTATCCAGTGGATCCATGGGAGACAGACTTGGAGATCTCCTTCATGAAGCTTGTTGTTGTTGCTGTTAGGTGCCAGCTCTGATTCACAGCAACCTTGTGAAGACTATAGTCTAGGAAATCCTATGAGGCAGTTCTACTTCCACATGGGGTGGCTATGACTAAAAAATAAACTCAATAGCACAAAGCAACACAACAACAAAAA